TCAAGAGTATCCTTTCAAATACTATGTACATAATTCAATTTGCTATCCTTACTTGCTTGTCTGTTTGTTAGTGCCAACTGCAGTTTCAACTCACAAATTTTAGTTTTTAGTTTCAAGGTGAGGATGAAGGATCTTTGGAAATGTTCAAAAATTTTTGGAGGGCCAAGTGTAGTGGTGTACACCTTTAATTCCAGCACTGAGGAGGCAGAGGCAGGTGGATCTCCATAAGAAGGAGGCTGGCCTAGTCTACATAATGAGCTGCAGGTTGAGGCTCCAGAGAGACCCTGTCTCAAAAAACTCAACCCAACCCAACCCAAACCAAACCAAACCAAAACAACAATAAAATATATTTTATAGATGAACATATATGTATACATATAAATAATATATGAGACTGGGGAAACGGCTCAATGGATAAAGCACTGTCCCAAAAATTGTGAAGACTGAAGTTTGAATTCCCAAAACTGACATAAATGCCAGGAGGCATGTTAGCTGCATGGAATCCCAGCACTGTGGAGGTAGAAGACAAGGGATTCTGGGGGCAAACTGACCAGCTAAACTAACCAGAATTTATAAGGTCTGGGTTAATTGAGAAACCCTGCCTCAATAAATACAGTGGGGAGTGATCAAGGAAGATATCAATTTCAGGCCTCCACATACATGAGCATAGATGTGCATGTATACTACACACGTGTAAACATACATACATATATACATACACTATGCAAGCAAAAATAAAACAAAAAGTATTTTTCAAGTTAAATAATTTATTGGAAAGTATATTTTATCCAGATTTTAACTGTAATACAGTGGGAGGGACCATTTGAGCAACTTGTCCAGAGTTTTGCCAAAAAAAGTTTCTCTGCTTATCTGAAACCTATCCATGCAAAAGGACATGACCCAAGTCCAATAAGTGTAGTTTCTGAAACAATAGATATTACGTCTCCAATTGAAATAGACATTTCATGGTCTCTAGGTTATCTTCCAAATAACAAGCACTCAAGAAATATGTTAGTGATTTTAATCTATGCTCACTTTAAACTTGAAATATGTTTGCAATTATTTTGTCTATAGTTATTTTACTTGCATTATTAATCAAACATTATCATACCTGCTAATGCTCACTTTCAATGAATGCTGAAAAGGCTACGGAGAAAATATAAACCTTGATGCATGCCTTGGCAGTGGAGTCCGCCGCAGAGGAACAAAGCTGGTGATCATTTTTGCAGGCTGATCACATATTCGAAATTATTTGCAAAGAAATTGTAACTGAATCTTCCAAATATTTATCACCATAGTTAGAATTTTCATTAGAATATCTTTCTAATGCAATAGTGTTTATAATGATCATTTTTAAAGTTGCTACCCTGAGTTTATAAAGCAATATTACAATGTCTTTCCATTAACAATATTAAAAACATTCATCTCCAGAAAATGTTGTAAAGAAATTATACTACAATGATGAACTAAATATTTAAGTAAATAAAAAATGGTGCTATATGATAGAATATCAAAGAACTTAAAATTCTTTGCAAAAGGACATTTTAACTTCTGATGAAAGCAGAATAATAGTCTTTGAAACTTAGCCAGTCATATGATAATAAATTTAAAATCCACCTCCGTGAATATCAGAGCACATTTTCCCCTTGGGCATTGATGATCTTTGTCATGGGTCACGGTAGTTGACGTGCATTTTAAAAGGTCTGGACTAGAACTATACCGTTAACACTGTAGCCATTAGTCATACGTGGTCTCTGGAACTGCAATAAATTAAATCAAAATAAGAAATTCATTTTCTTTGTTACACCATCCACATTTTAAATGCTCCATAGCCACATGTGGCTAGTGGTTACCATATTTTAAAGTACGATACAGAGTTCTATCATTACAGAAATTTCTGTTGAACAGTGTTGGTCCACAGTAGAGAGTCCACTGTCTATGAATAGAAAATGTCAAATGTCTGTGTATCTTTCCATATGTTCCCTTGCACTTTTGTATAAGAGCTTGAGTTTATTGAATTGATATGATATTTAAGAATGGATGTCCTAATATAAACAATTAAAATTATGCCAAGAGATTACAGGGTTGGTTTCTTGTTCAGCCTCTGTATGAGAAAGCATCTCAAAACTTTCCTGTTCTTCAATGAAATAAATTGTAAGGGTTACCAGTATTTTTGGCTACTGTGTTTTTGCATTACAAGGATCTAAGCTAACCTTTCTGTGCCTTAAACTTCACTCAAAAGTAGCCAAACCTTTATTTTGCAGCAAGGAATTTCTATTTTAAATAGTAGCACTTCAGATCTCAAACTCTGTACTTGTAAACTTTGTCCCTAGCATAAAAAACAAACTTCCTAGGGTTTCTTAGGTTCAAAGGTCTTTGTGCTGGAACTAAGAAGCTCCAGCAACGTTCTTAGTCTTAACTCAGAAAGATGAATTTTTACATATAAAAAGATGGAAATATGAAAATGCATAAAGAGTATAATTTGATGTCATTGTATGATAAACTGAACTGTTGCTAAGTTAGATATTGAAAATGAAGAGTCTTAACACTATGAATGAGGTCATCCTTACCAATTATGCTTAGAGAAGAATCATCTTGCAGAAGAAAAGTGAAAGGCACCATTAACAAAAATAAATGAAAATTATGTGAAAAACTCTAAACTATGAGGTGAAACCAATTGTTTTTAACTGTAACTCCTGAAAACCTTGATTAAAAGTAGGATGTTGGTGCAACAGTGGCATTTTTATGTTGGGCGTAATCAACAACTATCTAATTAAACTTATGGCCCACTCAGTTGGAGGGAACTCATGTATGATACTGAAAACATATCCAAATACACATGAATGAAGTGGTCATAGATTCTAGAGAAAAACCTCATCTATTACAGTCCTAGAGAAATGTATTTTACTGTATGCTAAATATGTGTCCTTATATTTACAAATATACTCATCAAAGAAGCTTCTTTTTTGCTACAGATAGAAACTATTACAGAGTTCTACAACTGGTCAACACAGAGTGTTTCTGAGCTGACTAGCCCTAAGTGACACAGCTACAATGCAACCTCTATACTTAAGGCTCAGGGAATATAGTAGAACAGGGAGCAGAGAAAATAACATGGGGCAGAGAAAATAATACGCAACAGATGGTGATTAACACAGAAAGTCACAGTTGGCTAAAATGTAGAGAATAAGAAACAACAGAATGGGTGTCCCTGGAAACAACTCCTGAATAAATCTCTGCCACCCAGGACTCAGGGACCACTGGGAAAGAGGGAATGGAAAGATTGAAAGAGCCAGGGGTGGTGGATTACCACAAGGGAACAGAGTCTTCCGGGTGGCTGAGAACTTGCTCATAAGAACTTACAGCAATGGTGACAGCATGCACAAAACCCATGCAAACTTAAACCAGAAAAAAAGTGGGGAAATGGGTAAGAAGCCCCAACCTTAGCTGAGAAAATATTGGCAACTGATCACTACTGGGTGAGGACGAGCTGGTCTTTAAGAGAGTGAATTTTGATAGGTTGACCAGGATCCAGTTATGAATTCACACCCAGGGACATTTAGGGACACAAATTTGACTCAATAGGCCTTAACACATATGACAGAATGCATGAAATTCAGCGGGGGAGCTATGGAGGGGTGCAGATGGGGAGAGGGTCTAAATATCTTTAAGATATATTGTATGAAATGATCAAATATTCAACAAAAATTAAAAAGATAAAAGATATCTTAGTATAACTACAAAAACATAATTTTAAGCTACTTATTGGATAATATTACTGAACTGATCATAATTCCTTTGGTGTGAATGTGGTTAGAAATGTGTTGCAGAAATTCTGGTTCATGGACGATATATACTGAAGTATTTAGGTGTTAAATTGACAGACTAAATTGATTAAAATGTAGTTCTAAACAAAACCAAAGAAAGTAGTACATCTGTATTTAAGATTAGACAAATCATAGAGGTGATCTGGAAAACAAAAAAAGAAGTTCTATAATTATGAGTTATTTTAAATTTTACATATTTTCATGAAATACTATGCAAACATAATAGTAACTTCATATTAAAAATAATTTAATATTAAAAATGGTGCTTATTTTAAATTAGCTAGTTCTAATTTTAAAAATAACTGAAACCCAGATAAGGAAACATTCAATAGAAATTTCATTTTATTTTCAAATATTTTAGTAATTGTCCCTTTTCAACAGTAACAATATGTTTATTGTGTGGGGATTATTTTTCCACATTAGATTTCATAACTCTTACATGAAGTAGTACTTTGGAATTAGCTACAGAAACATGCATTAGTTTGTGCAGAAAGAATGAGAAGAAGGAAGGAATGAGGGAGGGAGGGGAAGAAGGGAGGGTGGGAAGGAAGAAGGGAACTAAGGAAGAGAAAGAAGGAAGGAAGAAGGGAGGGAGGGAAGGAGGGAAGGGAGAAAGGAAAGGGAGGAATACGCTAACTTCTTATTCCTTCCTCATACTGATTTTACTTACTTTCAGGATTCTTTGCTGGAATAAAATACATAACCTCATTTCTGTTCACTTGTTCACTCCTCAAGCAAATCTGAAGCCATTCTTATTAACATTTACTAATGAAATATTAAGATAAAGTTTGTTTTTCATTTTTAAATTTAGGAATGCTTCACTAGACTTAGGTAACCGCTCCTGACACAGGCCTTTGAAACATGTCTTGTTAGATACTAGTGGGTCTTGGAGACGTTTGAAACTCTCAGTTCATTAAGACTTTGAGTAGCTGTTTTGTATGTAAGAATGAGAACTGATGGAGAGGTTGGGACGAAACACATAATTTTATGAAATATGAGGAAAACATAAGGGTTTTGTTATGACGCACATAACAATCAAGAACCTGTTTCTTTTTAGCAAGCTCCAAAAAAGTACCTCCCGTATAATTATTAAATAAAAACACTCACTTATTCAGTACTCAGCTAGCTTTTAAACTCTGAATAAGAGAAGTACACAGTGAGAGGGGTACTTACATGGTTTCCTTGGATACTGGATGATGCCATTCAGGTCTATGTTTTTATCTGAAAGTGGTGCCCTGCAGAGAAATGAGGCCTGGTGAGTGGCTGTTTATACATAGTAAGTAAATAGGAACCTTGTTTATTTTACAAAGCATTTTTTGTTTTGACCCAGATTTCCTTTCCTCACCATACTCAACCATTGTAAATATCAGTAATATGGTAGAACAGGTACTTTGCACAACTCTTTTTAACTTCACTTAAGAAATCTTAATTATTATGGCAGAAGCGCGGAAAGTTTTGGCAAAGCAGGCTACTCTTTAGGATGCTTTATACAGCTGGACTATTATATTTATGTCAGATATATTAATGAATACTGCCTGCCTCTCTTTTTCTTCAAAGGGAATTTTTGTCAAACCACTAATAAAGAAATTAATCTACAAATTCTCCATTGATAAATGATAAGTGCTCTTACCTTAGCCAGTCAGCAAAGAACCATCAGTCTAGTGAGCTTCTAGATTGCCCACAGACATGAGTTTTCATTTTAAATAGTGCTGTGGCATCCTAGAGTCCCAATAGTTTAAGCACTATGACCATCCAATTTTGACACTCAGTCTCTTAGAACTACATGCTTTCTAATTTTGGGAGCATGATTAATCCCTCCTATGTGATAAGTTTTAACCTTCTAATATTTCTTTGGATCGAAAAGAGAAAATGAACTGCCTCAAAGAATGGCAACTACCTTTAATGCTTAACACAATTTAATAAACTGAAATGAAGTAAGTGTGTGCTATGTTTCTATTAAAAAGTTTCCAGCCACAATTAATTGAACAAAAACTTGTCTTGTTCCAAGATTATTCTTGGAAATGTAATTTTAAAGCCTGTGTGAAATAAGGAAACCTAACTTTTTTATACCATATGAAAGCAATTTCATTTTTTAGGAATGATTTTTGGATAGGCTTCCGATTGGATATTTTCCATTGGAACTAGCAGTGTTCAGGCTTGGGGTGGGGGTAGTAATTCTGTGTTCTTTTGCCAGCACTGACAAAGGTCTGGTTGTCAATGATACCTTTACAGCTAAATTTACTCTAGAGTGACATGGACAGGTGCAGCTTGGCCTGCCAGACACTTGTGCAGAGGGATCACGCATCTCACCGCTTGACGATCAAGGGGGCAAAGCCTCGGTCTTCATAGAAAAGGAGAGGAGGCAAACGCAGCCCAAACTGGGGGGTTTCTCTTCAAAGCCAGCTGGTCTGGCTTTATTCTACAGGAATTTTTTTACCTGTCAGAGTTTGGACAACAAAGCCCTCAGCAGGTGCTGACGGGTACAACTTCCTGGAGAAGCAGAAAGGCACTGGTGAGTTTCAATTGCCAAAATATATTTTTTTAATCTCTAAAAGTTGATTTTGTTATCTTAGAGGAGACACTGCTGAGGTACCTGTGTCCACAAAGCTAATGAGACCTGTGGAATCAGAGCCAACGAACTCAATAGTGGGTTTGCCTGGTGCACGAAATAGAGCCATTACCACGGGGCAACTTTTGAGATTTTAAAAAAAAAATGTAAAAGAATAATTTGCATTTTAAATACTGGTCTCTGATTACTATCTTCAATGTCTAAAGGATAAAGTGTTAATAGATATCACACCAGACTAAAGAAATAGCATTCTAGGTCCATTTTAATCTAGTTGTCATAATCGTCTCTGAATAAAATGTCATTTTCTAATAAAGCTACAAAATCAAAATGTGAAATGGTACACGCTTTTTCAAAATTACCGTGTGCTGTTATTTTAAGTGTGTGTACATTATAGGAATATGATTACAGAGCATATGAAATTAACTTTATATTTTTGAAATGTAATTGAACAGATTAATTAATTAAAAGGAACATTTTCTCATTATAACAGGGCTTTAAAGAACAAAATCTTTAGAATAAACAATAAAGGGAATAATAAAGCATGTTTTTATGTCATTGATTTCCAAAATTAGTACATTTATATATTTGGCATTTTTTATTTTGTAAATTCAAAAGTTGGGTAAAAATATTTTTTTCAGAACAGGATTTTAATTAATGCAAAAGAGGGAAAAATGAGACCACATGTTAGGACATATTTTTAAAAAGTGATTCTATTTCAAGGACTCATTCTTTTAACTATGCTTCACAGCATTTCTCAACAAATTGTTGTATTATAGTAAATTGAAAACATTTATTTAAGCAAGTAAGCAGCTCAAAGCTAGAGACTATACATAGTAAACATATGAAACCATTTTAAAAAGAAAATTCCATATTCACAAGCAACATGGGCTAATGAATGTAAAAGACACAACAGCATACATTGATCAAGAATGCTATAAATTATTATGCATTAAAATCAATTTTCTGGGCTGTGGGGGGTAGGATTGGTACTTAAGAAGAGAAAAGCTCCTACAAATATAAATTACTAAGACTACGAAGCAAATGTTTTATTCTGAAGGTACCATAAATAATTTTCAATCTACATGCTTAATACATATTTGTAAAGTGGGAAAAATATAAAATCTGACTTTTGTTGATGACTACCCTATCTAAAACAATTTTTAAATCAAACATGGTTTGAGCCTGGCATAAATTTATACAGAGGCGTAATTTCTATTTAAAAATATGAAGTGTTTGTTTAAAATACCAGAAATGCTCTACACAACCAGAAATCAAATTCTTAAAAAATACTCTCTACAAACATCTTCATGAACCTATATTTTAATTAAAATTCAAATTTACTTCTTAATATAAAATATTACATGTATTCTTCAGATTATCAAAACAGTGGTTCAACTATTATTTTCTCAGATGTTTTGCCACATTTTATTAATGATTCTGACAAATGGGTGATCAAAGTCACTGATTTTTTTTAATCTAGTATCATTAGTCTCTTAAAGAATGAGTTATCTGCAACTAGATAATTTTCCTCTCTTGTTAAATACTATAGTCTTAAAGAACCAGAGTGGTCATTTTGAGGATCATAACTATTTGTTGAAAAACATATACTCTTAGGTCAGCTTCAGAATTGCACTTGTTAAGTTTTCATGCATTTGTATTGGCTATATTTATCACATTATCGTTAACACTGAGTACAAACAACATAATTTCTGCCAAGCTGTTCTTTATGACTCTCAGCTTTTTTT